TCTTCATACATTCTTATATAGATCTATATTGTGTATTGTGTATTTTGTTGTACAGTTATTTTATTTTCAACTTTAATTTATATATTTATCTTTATCTTATTCTTCCCAGTTAAATTTACCCTTCATTCTAATTTGTGTTGTACAGTTATTTCATTTTTAACCTTAATTTATATTTTATTCCTTCCTAGTTAAATTTACCCTTTTTAATTTTTCATATTTATTTCCTTTCTTATTCATAGCCTTTTCCTTTTTTGTTTTCTTTAGGTCACGAGCAGTTGTCCAAGCATTTCACTACATATCGTACTGTGTATGACTGTGTACGTGACAAATAAAAATTTGAATTTTGAATTTGGAAGCATTAAGGTGCTGCACATGAGTCTTCTAATGGAAAAGAAATCATTAAGAAACCTATCAGGAGCCTCTAGAATCATAATTCCACATTATTTCAGGTGTGAATCTCAAACAGAAGTGGCAATCCTTTTCATTTTTTAACCACTGCATTTTGTAACTTACTTGGCTACTGGGTCAGTCTTCTTTATGGTCTGTTGACTCATCACTGGCCGGATGACTGAAATGAAAATCTATGTGAGAAATTATCGAAAGTTCAGAGAAAGCAAAATCTTTATATTGTGCTTTATTGCCAGCTTACAGGACTTTGGTTGGGCCTTATATCACCATCACTCTTAGTTCGAGTCTGCTTCCACCATAAAGAAAGACAAACAGAAGAAAAAAACAAGATATTACATCTTCAACTGTTATTAACAGAAGAAAATGTGTTAGTTTATTAATATAATATAGCTATAGATATAATATCGCATAAAATCTCAACAACAGTCTCCTCAAGGCACTTTGTATTGTAAACTAAGACCCTACAACAGGGTAAACCCATAGAGAGAGAACAGCAACAATCAAATGACCCCTTTATGAGCAAGCACTTGGTGACAGTGGGAAGGAAAAAAAATTCCTTTTAACAGGATGAAATATCTGGCAGAACCAGGCTAAGGGAAGGGCAGCTATCCCCCCTCACCCGTTGGCAGGAGGAGCAAGATAGGACAGAAGACACACTTTGAACTCTATTAAATTTCTTAAATCTTAAGAGACTACATTACCCACCATGGTCAAAGGAGCTTGCAAAGAAAAGCGTCTGGACTTCTTTAAGTTGCCTTAACGCCCACTCACATCCTGGGCCATCTGACCTCAGGAATTCGCATGATAAAGTGGGGCCAGGTTTCACAATGAACACACCCGAAACTCTGGCGGATTGGGACCCACGCCCAGTTTCCCACCTTGGCTCAGGCGATTAGAGGATCATCAGGGGGTCCTTTTGTCCCTCTGTGGGGGTCACTCCCACTAGGTTTATATCTGGGACTCTCCACCATTTGACATTAGAACTGAAGAAGCTTCTCGGATGAGAGGTGAAACGTCTTCAAGCAACTTAAAGAAGTCCAGACGCTTTTCTTTGCAAGCTCCTTTGACTACGATGACCTGGATGACTGAGAACCTTCACAGACATATTACCCACCATGCCTTTCATGTACAATTCAAAAGCGCTTAAAGACACTCTTTCACTCTCAGAGGTCTGAGTGTCGCTCTGATCGTCCAGGTCTTCATTGTCTGACTCAGGTGACTCCTGCTCAGGTGATGTGGCTAAATGAAGTTGAGCCAGTCTTTCTTCCAGACAGCTCGCTGTACCTGCAAACACAAATTACTAACCATCAGCAAACCAACACTTCACTCTCAGCTACTTTAAAAGAGACATAGTTTGCTTATCTCCAACTCCATATTTGGATTCTTAGCAACTTTGAAGAGAGTAGCAAAGTCTGTGTTAATATATGTATAAATATTAAACTTTCCCTGCTAAAATTAGCAAATTTCCATATTTTTGCCACAATTCAAAATAATTATTTTTAATTTGATAGTGAGCCTTGGTTCTGCTTCAAGTTCATCTACTCTCTGACAGAATTACATTTTAGTTCCTCTTCCTATAAGTGGCTCCAAGACAACATTCTCCTGATTGGCTGCCCTCAAAGGGTTGAAAAAACGGCCTTAAAATGAGCATTTAGATCAGTGAGAAGCTTAAGTCTCACATCGATTACTAACACACATGAACACCTCATTATTTAAAACACTCGACCTGTTTAACAGAAGTATTTATTTGTAATAGTACATATATATGTTAGAAAATAAGGGAAAGCATAATCAGCCCACCTTTTAAACTTTTCATATCAACACTAATTGAGAAGTCAATTTACAATTAATGTGATGTTGAAATTTAATACCTGCATTAAAAATGTACATCTTATATCAAGAAATTTAACTCTTTGAAAATTGTTTTCATACAACATGTATTTATTTTTCTGAATATAAATTCAATAACCTTTTTTTAAATGTCCAAACTGGGATGTAATTTATTATTCAAAGCTGACCTTTTTATGGCTAAATGCCCAAAAACATGTAGCCCATTTCTGAGCCTCTGACCAAACAGCAAAAAAAAAACAACCTCCTTACAGTAACAAGTATCATGACGTGCTGATTTAGAAGCTGGAAAACATTTACCCCTGTCCTGTCTGAGGTTTCCTTCCCACTCTGCACACATGTTGCCATACATCATGGTCGAGCTAATGTTCACTCTGGAGTCAATAAACTTGATGTCTTTGTTGCTCGAAGACTCGTCTGGATCTTCACACTCCGCTTTTCCTCCGACGTCTTTCTTGACATTATTGAACCCATGAAGGTCGTGCACCTCTATTTCTTGTTTTTGCTTCTCGTTCAGCCGGAACATGTCTTCAGCCTGAACAGTGCGATGCTGTTCTTTTGGTGCTTTCTTTTCAGATGCCGCATGTAGATCGCACTCCTCCTCACCTGCCTGCTTTTTCTTCTGTTCCGAATGCACTTCTGTGATGTGGATGATTTCTCTACAGCACGCCACATTATCAAAAATCTTGCTGACCTCTAACACAGACAGTTCATTGAAGTCTGGCTTATGTGTAGGTTCAATAAAGTCGCCAAAGCTGCTGAGTGACCGACTGTCCTCTTCGTCCTCTCTCATCTCAGACAGACTATCCTGATCAAACTCTGTTATGGTGTGTCATCTCTGTACTCTGCTCCCTCCTGCCCCTCTGGTTTGTAGGTCCCGTAGCCAGAGGTCATCAGACTTGGTGCGAGACTATCTGGACTGCTACTACACCTTTCTTCTTCCTCCTCCTCATCGTTATTTGTCTTATCCAAACTTTCCTTGCTGAAGTTGCTCTGGTTGTTCAACCCACTCTTTACCTCCTCTGAAGCCCCCTGAAGTAAATCTTCTGCATCGGTGGCTGGTTTAGAGTCAATCATTTGCTCAATCTCATCCTCTTCTTCTTCTTTCTCCTCATCTCCATCAGACCAAATGAGGAGGAAAGGGAATTCTTGTCATCTTCACTCTCTTCGTCTGACCGAGTGCTGCACATTTTGTACATGTTGAGTTTGCACTACAACTCAGGTGTATGGAGTGTGTGATCTGAGAAGGCACAGGACTTAAGGAAGTAGCTAAGAGGATTAGCTGAAGCCTCAAAAGCTTCTTCTCACTGGAACAGCGCCCACTGCTGCTGACCAAAAGGAATTACACTGCTGCATTTACTCTTTAATGCTGCTTGTTTCAATAGTTGTTTCTTATTGTGAGACAATGAAGGCCAGGGTTCAACTATAAACATGAAACTTCGGATAAAACTTGTTGTGATCCATAAATACAAACTGGATGTCTACAGCAGTACTCAGTCAATTTATTCTTTCATTTTCTTCTTGAAATTATTTCTGCACTTCAGTTTACCTATTTTTTTTTTTATTCTAATCTAGTTATAGTAAAGCTACCTAAAAAAAAAAAATCCCAATTTGATTAATAGTACACAGTACAATTGTACATTACAGCTTTGTGAAAACATAAAATCGAACATTATTACTTATTATTTAGAACAATAAACCTTAAAGCAGATGATCAGAAGATATTACAGATTTTTGTCCATTAGTTTTGTTACCTGAGTCTTCACTGTAGACTGATTCATCACAGACAAGTGACTGTCCTTTGTGTTTCCTGAGGGCGGGAAGCATAATTAGAGTTGAAGACCTTCTCCATTTGGCACATCTGGAACAAGTCATATCTCCACAATAAGTTGACTTGTTCCAGATGTGCCACAAATTCCCTGTTAGTGTTAGCCAATGAAGAAATGATATAAAAAGAGAAGATATGTCAATGATGTTAAAGTACAAGCTTAAATTGAATACCGACCTGCGATATAACATTGGGATGATCGGTTGTCAAGATGTATGAAAAAACATGGGTTTTATTTCATATTATTTAAAATCTTGGGCTAAACTGTAATAAAGTTTAAAGTTTAAATAATACTGGTAAAAAAATAAAACACAGACCAATCCAGACCTAGTAAGCACATAGGCCAAATAAACCATGATTCTTTCACTCGTGAGCTATAGTGTTACAGAAGCAGAATAACATGAAAAAAACAAACAAATAACATAAAACAAAACTTGTTCTTTGGTAATCAGAACAAAATTGTATCCGGAAAGCTGTTTCCTAGAATGCATGAAATTCTACTCTTTACGTGCTTTTTTTATTAATACAAAGAAAAATCCAGCTGCTGTAGTTGGAAAGACAATAAACTAAAATTAACTAATGTGTGTGAATGGTGGATGACTGGATATGTAAAGCGCTTTGGGGTCCTTAGGGACTAGTAAAGCGCTATATAAATACAGGCCATTTACCATTACCAAATTAACTCTGGACAAACAAATGAAAAATTAGCACACGATTCGTAAAACTACCTCAGAACTTTTCTCTTGATGAAGTGTCTCCCCTGGGTGTCTGGGGTAGATGTGTACTATCTGTCAGTGGTGAGTGGATGGTATCCTCAGATCCTGCTCCACCTGAAGCCTGCTTGGAGCACCTGGAGGAGCTTGAGCTTCTGGGCCACCGAGTGTTGAGTGTACGATCATAGTCTCCGTTATAACAGTGATGAGCGTCTGGGTGTGACATTACATGCTTTTAATTTATTGCACATGCCTGACACCATTACAATTAAGACTATGTTTGTTGTCCAATCAAAGTAGTGCTACTCATGACATGATTTTATGTGGCAACACATTAACAGCATTTGGCTCAATAGAGCAATGAATGCAAGAATAAATGAATATAATATAAAAACATATCTTGTATGTTATGAGTCATTAATGCTTACCTTTCTGGCATGGTCTGTACTGCCTGCATGTAGGAAGAATGATTCACTAGTGCCTTTAAAGCAGTGTGGACTAACTGTGGAGAAAAACAGAGCTCAAGTTAGATGTTATTAAGTGTTATAAAAGTGAAATACTCAAAATCACAAAGTGAGTGCTCTGACCCTTTTCTTTGGTATAGGCAGGGGGACTTGGCTGAGGTGTAGTTGCCTGAGATTTGGCATTTATCTCATTTGATGAGGAAAGGCCTTTCCACTCCCCTCGTCGAACCAGCTCATCCAGATCTAATCACAGAAATGACAGTTTCCCCTCAATATTTACTGATTAACATGTCTGCAATCATTTCCTGTAATGCCTGTCATTTCCACATCTATTTCTATTATTACACTCTACCAGAGTAGCTCTGCATGATTCACAGTTCAAAATAATCCTTAACTTCTGTGCAGCCCCTCAGTTCATCTATAGTGTGAAACAACTGTTTAATTTCATCTCTCTTTAGGCTAACTTTCCTCTGATTAACTGCGCCTCAGAAACTGATGGTTTGAACAACACGTGTGCCATACTAGAGTTGTGCTCCTGACATAACCACATAAGGGAAATCCATTATCTAAGACAAGTTACACCCCCTCCCCCAAAAAACAATTACTCAACTCTTTGAAACTCCTAAAGTCTGAGCTTTTACTCGCAGAGATTACTTACTGAGCTAATTTTTTGAAACTTTGATTATGTTTAATATATGACAGAAAATTACTGAGCTCATTATTTGAAACTTTTATGTTTAATGTGAGTATATGACAGAAAATTAAGAAAAACAAGAGATCAATTCTTAGAATTAAAAATGTAAATAATCAGTGCACAATAAATATATTAAACTGCAAACAATATGGCAATGTGAGTTGGGAGGTTTAAGAAGGGTTGGTAGATATATGTTTAACCTTGTTTAAATTCACGCAGCCTGTGCTTTGGTATGTTTTTGTAGCCAAGGAGGGCTAACTGTTCTTGAATTTCCTCCTCTGAGAAATCCAGATTGTCCATAATATTTCCAGCTTCCAGTCACTGATATGAAAACAGTCCTACATGAAAAAAAATCTAAATCAAACACAAAGACAAAACCAGATATGCAGGATGCAAGATGTTATGTCATAAACAAATGTTCTTTTGATACATGTAAAGCTTTTCAAACACGTTTTACGCATGGGCTTTTATCACAGTGTTGGACAATGAGACACACTTTTGGTATGATTACTAGCGCAGTTGCAATTTTAACAAACAGTCTGTAGATACTCTATAACAAATATCAAATAAACCAAGAGTAAATAAATAAGTCTAACATCTGCGTTGATTTCCTACTGTCCTAACAACAATTCAAAACTGATTTTACAACAGCTGTTAGCTAGCTTGACTAGCCGTTCCCAACCAGACATAAAGAGAAACGATGTTAACTAATTTTAACTTGTCCGTCTCACCTTCACACAAGCCGGTTAGGTGTTAGCGTGAACCCATCCTGCTAATGTTACCGGTGTAGTTTACCGAAGTAGTAGTTGCGCTTTATTGTTTGTACAGAGTTAAACACTCAGCACCAAGACAACGGCCGTAAAGAGCTTTGAAAATGACGCCTGCTAACGTCATTGACATAAACATCCGGTCTTTTTCTTCTTCGTTGTACTATTTAGCGATTGACGAGTCGACGCATTACCACCTCTAACTGGACTGGAAAAGTACAACGACGATAATAAATAGTTCTCACAAATCACATTAATCATCCTCCCAGATAGGAACGCCAGGGCACGGTGTGTGAGAGGAAATGTTAAAGTTGCTTTAATAATATCTTAAAGTAAATGAGGAACTGATTTGAGGTAGTATATTGCTGTAGTTTTTAGTTAAAATTGGATATTCAATCTAATTTATCAATGTTGATGTTTTCATCAAATATTAAGCAAAGACATTTGCACAACAGTAATATAATATACTAATATAATTGTAATATATTGAAAATTATTTCTTTAGATGATGTAATTAAAGAAACATGATGGATTGACATTAGAACTGAACATTTACCGTCCGTCCATTGAGCCATTTTCTTATGCTTATCTTTATGAGGGTTGCAGGGCTACCGGAGCATATCCCAAGTGCTATAGGGTGAGAGGCAGTTTCCTGCTTCCTGTACAGAATGTCAGTCTGTCGCAGGGCAAACACAGAGAGACAGACAGCCATATGCACTCACATGTACACCTATGAAGAAATTAGAATCGCCACTTAACCTAACCCCACTAATTAATGGTTAGTTAGTGGATTGAAATCTGAGACTTTCCATCTTAAATGCACATATTAAACAAATATGTAGGGCTGCTTTCTTCCATTTCAAGAGTCAAGATTGAAGATTCTTATTTGTCACATGCATAGTTATACGAGAACAACACGTAGTGAAATGTGTACTGAAAAGCTCCTTGACTGTGCAAAAGAGAACTTAATAAACAGTAAGTGAATATGTACAAGGATGACATTCAGTAAGTGAGTGAATTACATACATTAAGTAAATGCATTGAGTGTTTCTTCTTCAGTTACCTTTCTCACTCACTATGTCATAATACACCCTCTTAGCATTGAATCATACTTGTTATCAATCTCTGGCTCTCTTCCACAGCATGTCTTTTATCCTGTCTTCCTTCTCTCACCCCAACCAGTTGCAGCAGATGGTCCCGCCCCTCCCTGAGCCTGGTTCTTCCAGAGGTTTCTTCCTGTTAAAAGGGAGTTTTCCCTTCCCACTGTTGTGCTTTCTCAAAGGGGTCATATGATTGTTGAGTTTTTCTCTTTATATATTATTGTAGGGTCTACCTTACAATATAAAGTACTTTGACGTGACTGTTGTTGGCGCTGTATGAATAAAATTGAATTGAAAAATAAATTGAAGTACAATACAAATAAGTGGTGTAGTTGGGCACAAACATGTAAAGGCCCCCACCTCTATCATTTAAAGCTATACCACCATAGTTCATTTAGGGCTTCTGTTAGCAGAGTTGGACCTTAAGTTGATGTTGAAGGCCCCACAGAAGACTAAAAGGTAAACCTTGAGTTTCGAAATCTTTGGTATTAAAAGTGGAATGAAAGCATCTTACTTTACAGAATGCTGTTATGTTTTATGTAGCAATTTACTGATAAGAACCACAGTAATGTAACAGTTGTGTGTGTATTAAACATTCAGCTTAACCTTTACAAGTAAAGGGAAGTACGTCCCACCCTGTGTGTGCAGGGAACCCCTCCTCCTCCTCCGGCCGGCCTCAGCCTCTCAGAAATAATCAGGACTTTCTAACATCCTCCCCTTCCAACAGGCGGTGGGGTTTCAGTCAGGGGGACGCTGACAGGTGGACTGCCTGAGAGCCCCATCTGATCTGGAAAAAGGGACTTTCAGTGTCTTCCTCGGTCCGTAGGAAGATCATGGCTCCACCACGAATCTGTCGGGAATCCTTCTTGGTGCTTTACTGCAAATTGTGTTTATTTGCTCCGCTCAGGTGAGAGATAAGCGTAGATTTTTTTTCTCTTCTCTGAACTGCAAACGTTTTAAAGTCCTAATGTCCTATGCGTTCATGTGGCAGAGCCGATGTGGTATATTTGATAGGTATTTACGACTCAGAAAGGAGCACACTTTACGGTTCCTAACTGTAGTTTTTACTCCGCTGTGTTTCATATACTTGTGTAGCACTTTAAGTAATCTCATTATGAGTTAAATATTCTTCTTTAACTCTGTGCTCTAACTTTAGACATGTAAAAAGCTTTCTGTGGTGGAAACGTAACTACCCTAAAGCAGTTACTGCAAAATGCACGGTACTTTAAGGCTACTGTACTTTAACATGCTGTATTGATGATTAAATGAATGATTTCAGTGTTTTTGATTAGGTTTTTCTAATGTCAGTTCATCCCAGTGATCACAACTGGCACCAGTGAAGTCCAGAGGGCAGCAGTAATCTGAGCACATGCGGTTACTTAGGTGGAATAATAGGAAACCTGGTTCTGTGACCTAGCCACTCACATCACGCAGACAATGGGACTCTGTGTGAGCTTACCTTCACACTAGCAGCAGCAGCAGCACTGCTTGGTATTTGGAGATGGATTTCAGTTGGAAAAAAAGTAAAAAAATTTTCTGTGTTTGTTTTACAGAGAGGCCCAGTCGGTCCCAGAGGCCCTCCAGGGCCACCCGGGATAGGTGGAGTGCCCGGAGTGGACGGTATTGATGTGAGTCTGCTTTTTGGTTCTTCTTTTGTACTGAATTTTATTCCAGGATTAATCAGCTCAGTGAACAGTGAAACCAAACAGCAGCTGATGTTCTCCGACAATAACAAAGCTCTGTCTGTCTCTCTGTCTAAATCATGGTATAGTTGTATCTATGCAGGGCTCGTTGACCTTTTTCAGAAGAACTGCCCTACAGAAAAAGAGAAAGTTGATCATCTTAATCTAAAGTGTGCCATACATTGTGCACTGAAAGTCTGCCTTTTCATTTGGATGCTGGCCTGCTATGGGCTCAAAAAGTTTAAGACAGTCTTTTAAATCCACATTTAATGAAATCATTTGATGGTATCATGATTGCATTGAGCCATTTATGTATCACCTTATAAATGACAATGAAACATAAAGTTATATGTATGATGAATATTTAGTTTTCATTGTATCATCTCCTTCATGTGTCTTCAGGGCGACAGAGGAGAAGACTCTACAGTGACTGGTGCACCAGTGAGTCAGTTTTTGGTTTCTCTTCTCACATGCAGAAGTCTAAGATTAATAAAATCAGTAATGCTGAATCTTCTGCTTCCAGGGACCTGATGGAGAGAATGGCAAAGATGGGACTCCTGGAGCTCCAGGCATCCCAGGGGCAGATGTAAGTAAGACAACATGTCAACACAGGCACAAACTGGTAAAGTGTTTGTCCAGCAGTCATGTTTTATAGCTTAATCATTCGCGGTGTGGTCTCTATAGTCCAAACCAAAATAAAAGACTTTATTAAGTTCTGAATTCACCAGCTAACCTGATCCAGTAGGTCTTAAATTCTCCAATGTGATAATGTATTAAGTGTCCGTAAGATCTGAGCCACATGACTTAAGACATTCAGATCTGCTGCTGTAGGAGCAGTTTATATTGGCCCCAGCTGAGCAAAAGTGTAGAGGAAAAAGAAAGGTCCCTTGAATAAATCAATCTGTTTATTTATGGTTGAGTCTCAAATAGCGTACTGACAGAAACAGGGGTCTTTTTGTGCACTACTCAAGGAGTTCAGGGAAATCAGCTGCCCAGAGATGGCTGACTGAAGGCTGTACGCTGGGAAAGATGGTGCAGAATGGTCACAGTGTGTTTGCTGTCCTCTATGTGGTGGTGGTACAGAGAACAGACTGAAAGACTCAGAGTTTTATATGTACTGAATTCTTTTTTAGCAAGCCTGCACAACCACTCTGTGATTAATTAAAAACAAAAGTTACACCAATTTCCTTGTCTCAGTGCCATCTTTGACCAACCTGCAACATGGCTTCTGATGGCTGTGATAGCTTTCTGCCTTGGTGCTTATTGGTGGTTCTTGTGCCACTATGATCAGAGCCCTTATGCTATCCCCAAGGAACTTGTATCTTGATTTTATATCCCATGAATGGCTTACACATATATTTAACATTTCTTTTCTCTTTTTGTCAATGTTATTTATCGTCTGCTATCTCAGACTCTCTTCTCGCAGTTCATCTCAGGGTGCCATCCCCCTGATCTTTTCATTATAGCTCTAACTACCGGTAATCCTCTCTTTGCTGCCTTCATGAAGTGTGATGAGTTTTTGACATCAGTGGTATCTGTCTCCTGCTTTGGCCAGCTCATTATTTATTCTGGGCTTCTAAGTGATGCAAACCCTTGTCCAATCCCTACTTGAGCACCCTTTGTTGCATGCAAAGTGACAAGTTGCCAGGACACAAAGGGCATCACAGCATGCTGTGTTGTATGGTCATTGAACTGTCAGAATGCTCAATTTGCAGTTGTACCTTAGGTCCTGTCTTTCATGTGAATGTTACTTTGATACTAAGCTAATCATTACTGCAATCTAAACCCATCACTTCAAAGCACATCATTGGCCTATTTCAGGATAATAATGCATCCTGACATATTGGAGCAATTCTCCAAGAATAGTCTTAGGAACATAAGGGAATTCAATGGGTTGACTGGACTTTAGCCTGAACGAGCAACTATGGGATGTACTGGAAAAACAAATGTGATTCACATAGGCTACAACTTCCAACATCCAGCATTTAAGGGATCTGCTGTTAACGTCTTGGTGCCTGATATCACAGGAGACCTCCAGAGCTTTTGTAAAGTGTATAAGAAAAAGTAAAGTGTATATTATTGGATACAGAAAGTTACAATTTCTCTTTACACAAGTCCACCAAGTCCACCTATAAATTCTCTAACCTCAGTCCTATACTATGAGACACACACACACACACACACACACACACACACACACACACACACACACACACACACACACACACACACACACACAGAAATCAAACCAAACAACAATAGGAAAAGAAAAAAATGGTATGGCAGCTAGAGTGCAATATATATTTAAAATATCATTATTGCATGCCAAGATTTGAATGTACTTTGTTTCATGTCCACAGGGACCTGTGGGACCTCCTGGGG